GTGGGGTGGGGTGGGGGGGGGGGCGAAGATTGATTTTAAGTGGTAAAGGAAGAATTTAGAGCCACTGGTCCCGGATGTTCTGATATAACCGAAAATTGGTTAGAATGTATCCTTGTAAAGTGCACCATGATAACTCTGTTAGTCATACTCTATAGAAGATTCATAAGAAAATATTTCAGAGCATTTCGTCACAGCTTATTGAACAGGGGTCCATGCTACAACATAAATCAAAGTAGAGAAAATAATAGTATACAATGAGGGTGAAATCCATCAATTGGTAGCCTAAAAGATTCAGCTGAAGGGAAACTTGCCAATATAATCCTAATGCTATCCATGACTACAAGTACTCTGCAAATCTATATATTTTGTTTATACATATAAATAGATAAACAGTAAGGAATAAGTACAGAAAGCAACTGTGATTTTAACAATTCATATAGTGTTCAACTTTAATATGTAAACCATCCGTAGAAAAAGAGCTAATCATGAATGTTTATGATGAATGTGTATCGGCATATCTAGTATTTTTTTATTTGATGATATCGTAAGGTGAATTGCTATAATTAAGAAAAAAAAAAGAATTGGATGATTATCCTTAAAATATATTTTATATATATATATATATATATATATATATATACACTCAAGAAAGCCTTAAATTGAAAATAAATGGATCTGCTAAAGAAACCCCTTTTAACCAGTCTGCTCCATATAATAATATCAGAAGCCAAAGAGGTAAATAACCATATATCTCCTACTGCGCAATAAGAATAGAAACCGTACACATTTGTACACATACACACTCATCTTTGCGTGTTTATAAACTTGGATAAAGGGATACAACTTCTGCAGCAAAACTGAATCAAAAACAAAGTTACAACAGACAACTGAAGATCCAATGGAATAAAATCTAATTGCACAGTAGACATGAAACTCATTAAGTTCAATGCATTACATGGACACAGAAGTAGAAGATTTCAAGCCCCAAAGCAAAAACATAAATTAGTATTGATCAACAAAAAACTTAACACACCCACAAGTTGAAAAAATCAAGAGAGAGAGCATATGAACACACAAGACGAATCCAAGAAGTATATCAAGGGAAGAAAAGAACATTAAGTTTAACCCAGTAAAATGAAACTTCAGAAGTCACAGAAAAGAATAGAGGAAGGAGAGAAGGATAAATAGAGAGAGAGAGAGAGAGAGAGAGAGAGAGAGAGAGACCTTGCCGTCAATGACGACCCAGCAATCGTCCTTGGTGTTGTGCTGGGACGCTTCTTCCATTGAATACAGCTTCGTCAATGTAGGCATGTTTGTGGTTTGGGTGTAATCGAATATACTTCTCAAGCAATCTTCTAAATTGGGGGGTGAAGATTTTTTTCCCTCTCCTCCACACACCGGCAAATCTCTCGCTTGCTTCTCTCTCTGCTTCCTCTTGTTGGGGTTTTATTTATTTATTTATTTATTAATTATTATTATTTTAATTTTATCACTTAATTATCAATTTCATATCTATTCATCAATTTTAACCAGTAGAACAAACAACAACAACATATGACGGGAAAACCACATGACAAATACATACTTGGTGTGCCATCTTTTGTTGTCATAGTTAAAATTGAGGGAAAGACTTAATTGATATAAATTTAATAATTAAAAGTCTAAATATTTGAAAATTCAAGAACTATTTTAAGTCAAAATACAAAGTTTGACACTAATTGTATTATTAACCCTTTTATAATAACAATAATAACCCAAGTCACATAATTTAAGTAGCCATGACTTATTACCACTCATTTGATTAGTCAAAAATTATTAAAATTTTATTACCTAAAAAAAACACACACACACACACACAACTAAAATAGATTGGGCATGTTTGTTTAATGACTTTGGACGATTTTAGAAGGTTGCGTTTAATTAAAATAGTTTGATAAATCTCTTAATCCCATATTTGATTAGGACTTTTAAATTTAGGATTTATATCTCAGATTGTAAGAGGGCCATAATATTAAACCTAAATACATGGAGTTGGACAAACCTACCATATATGCCTAGGTTAACTGTGTCAATCTTAAAAAACTTCCACAGGTTAACCATTTGATTGAATTCAATGAATTTTTAAAGAGGCCAGAATTAGATTTTTTTCCTTTTAATTTTTATATTAAATTGCATGGGAGTAGATCAAATTAGAGTTAATTGTTAAAAAGTATACGTAAAAAAATGTAAGATAAATAAGTCTTTAATTTTGATACTTATTTGTGTCCAAATACATTATTTGAAAATTTCAGATTTTCTTGTGACATTTTTGTCCTCCTTTAATCCATACATATTTTTTTTTTGAAAGTGATTTTCTTTTCAAATTATATTTATGCATTAAACATCTGCCAGTTTTAGAATATTTCATTTTGTTTGAATTTCAAAATTTGAAAACTTGTCTTTATGGAGTTAATTATAAAAAAATACCCAAAAAAAATGTAGAGGAAAAAAATCTTCAATTTTAGTTCTTATTTGTGTTCAAGTACATAATTTGAAATTTTCGAATTTTTCTTTAACATTTGTGCTCCCTTAATTCATGCGATTTATTTTTGAAAACTAATTTTTTTTTTCAGATTATTTGTATACATTAAAAATCTCACAATTTAATGAAAAATCTGATCATTCCATTTTTTTTAGGATAAATGTATGCATTTGAAAATTTTCTAATTTAATGGAAGATTTGATCCTTTCATTTTTTAAAGT